AGCTGTCCACCCAGTGCAAGTGCACCTGATACACATTTTACTGGCATTTTTTTTCTAGTGTAGCGGGAGTTCTTTCTACGATGTTAATTCTGTACCTAGGTATGTGTTCCTTAGTGCGCTTGCATGACGTTGCGTACAAAAATAGTCTTGTTTTTGGAAAAAGACTCACACATTTTTATTTGTTGGTTGGAGTACCTATCCAAAAATATTTCTGGATACATATATGGTTCTGGTGTTTCTCTCTAATAAAATCTACAAGCTTCTTTAGCCATTTATATGTTTATATAATCAAAATGACATGTCACTGCATACAGATTAAATGGCATGGCATCACAAGCAAAACATGCGTGCTCATTGTGCTCTCCCTTCTACGCTGAGAGGCGCCCCAAGTTGTGCTGCGCGTAAGACGAAGCGCGGGAGCCTACGCGAGATCAGGCAAGATCAAGCGCAACATGACTGCGATCTCTTTCGGCTGTCAAGGCTTGAAAGATGACGTGCAAACCTCTATGACAGTGGCAGATGATCTCAGTCAAAGGCCGAGGAAAACTCGGGTTGGAACGCGGCTGCGAACCCTCGTGATTGTGAACGAACAGGTAAACAACCTCGTCCTTGACACAAACAGAGCCATTTGCTGCAGACATTGGCTGAGGACTGACACAGTTGGGAGGGTCGCAGACTTCAGTTGGCCGCCCATGTATGCACTCGTAAGTCTAAAACAGGTTGCCGTGCAATGGAAATGCAAAAACTGCTGCGAAATAGTGATCTAACTCTCATATTTAATATCGTTCAATATTCTGTACAGAAATATGAAATAATGATGTTAGTTTCTCGGACAAACTCATTATACTTCCGACAAGAACTACAGAAACGAAAGGCTCCATAAATATCAGTCTATAATGCAAGCTACAAGGTACGGCAGCAACACCCACAAAAACTATTGTCACCCTGCCAACATCTGCCTCGCCACAGTTTCTCATCCACATTCGCAGACGCAGCTTAAGTCGAGCCGCGATGAGATTCAGGCTGGATACTGTGTCCGAACGAAGTACTTATTGGCATCAACCCGGATTTTGCAAGGCTCCTGCGACATGCAGCGCAAGTAAGTCGACCACCGGCTTTTGACATTTATCTTCTGGCTTTGTGATACCGTCGACGGTCACGGATCCCGCGGCGAACACTGTGGCGCCGCAGGTGAGCCAGGCGCCTCGCGCGTCCTGCTTATCAGGGCGAGATGACACAAGGCGGGGCGGGCTTGGCTGCGGAGGACGCGTCGGGGGCGGCGCCCGCGGTGCCTGCGCTCCCGACTGCTTGCAGCCCTGCTTTCTTGTCGCTCTTGGCGGGATCATGTGGCTGACGACTTTCTTCGCACGATATGCATTTTGTAATCTTTCAAGTGCCTGATCATTTGAATGGAAACAGCTTGTTTCCGAGTTGTACGAAAGCAATAACTTTTATTTCAAATAATTACTGTATAAAGACATCAACTTAAAACTATATATATAAACACACACAACACGCACACACGAACACGCACACGCACACGCACACGCACACGAACACGCACACGAACACACCACGCACACAAACACGCACACAAACACGCACACGCACACGAACACGCACACGAACACGCACGAACACGAAACACGCACACGAACACACACGAACACGCACACGAACACGCACACGAACACGCACACGCACTACACATACACATACACACATACACATATACACATACACACACACACACACACACATATATATATATATATATATATATATATATATATATATATATATATATATATATATATATATATATATATATATATATATATATATATATATATATATATATATATATATATATATATATATATATATATATATATATATATATATATATATATATATATATATATATATATATATATATATATATATATATATATATATATATATATATATATATATATATCGGTTCATCTGAGTTATAGGGATGATTTATTACTGGCGATAGACTATGCAGACTCTGAAATGGAGGGAAATGTTATCTCCATATCAGGCGACACTAAGCAAGGAACGAAACTACAGACAAGGTGGTGTGTACTCCTGAGTTCGTGCCACAAAAGCGAGTACTTTTATTAGGTTTGGGTACTATCCATCTTGCACTTCTAATACAAGATAACTTCGTGTTAAGGTTGATAATGCGGCTGGAAGATATAAGAATCTCGCTCTTCTATCTCATCAGCTGAGCACTTTCTTCTCGCCAGCAGCTGATGCAGGTAATGCAGATGTATGAAGACATAAAGGCAAGAGTTACGAAGTTACGGAGTTTAAGGGAGAGCTTCTGGTTGATATTCCGTTGCGGTCGAAGGCAATTTGGAGAGAATCAGTTGAATCAGACCATTTAGAAGCTAACGCAGGAGGAGACATAGAGGAGAAGAAAGAATGGAAGAGAAGAACTCATTATGAAACCGAATATGCGAACTGAGTT